TTGAACCTGGGTTGACCCATTTAATTTTAAAATTTTAAATAAAAAAAGAACTAGAGTATTTAACTTTTTTGAATAAAACATAACACAACCACAAATACAACCAAATTGTTCAAAGTTTGAATAAAACACAATCACAACAAATATATTGTTCAAAATAAGTTGAAATTGTTTATACTCTAAGTAACTCGACTTCCATTTTCATCAACCCCAATTTCACTCTCGTACCTAAAATCCTAAGACCATTAGTCCATCAGCAAGTGTAATCCATACGTACAAAACAACAACTTATATGTAGATTGTATACTAATCTCAATGAAGACGAATGATAACAATTATTTATGAGGTATAGGTATAGTGATAGAAACAAATAGCCACACCACACAAATAAATTCAAACTTGAAAGAAATCAYTAAAGTTCGATAGAGTCATAAAATAACAAATAATCAAAGAGAAGCATGAAATTCATATGCTTTATACGAAGTTTAACAACAAAATACTAAACAAACATGATCATAAACAACTTACTCTGCTATCGTTCAACAACGCCTCAAGCCCTCAACTTCAAATCGAAAACTAAAAGTCTGAAACCAACCCAAATCTTTGATTGGAGAAGGTAGAACTCAAAAGAAAGGGAAAAGATTGAAGAATTGAAAAATAGAAKGCAAAACGTCGAGACTCATGATACTGATTAGTAATGAAGCATGTGAAGAATTGATTATTGAAGGATTGAAATCGAAGAGTCATCATGAAACTTGGGCCAATTTATTTAATAAGAAACAACATAAAAAATAAAACAGATATAATATTAAGAATAAAATAAATTTATATAATATTTTAAGTGGGTTGAAAACAGGTTGAGAACGGGTTCAAAACGGGTTGAAAACAGGTCAAAAAATTCAACCCAACCCAACCCATTTATTTAAATGGGTTAGACGGGTTGACCCATTTATTTAAATGGGTTGAAAATCTCAACCCAACCTGCTAATTTTAGGTTGGGTTCGGGTTGGGTTAATGAGTTGGGTCATTTTTTGCCACCCCTACCAGAAAACGGCCATATGATTACGAATACATCAGCTTTAATTCATAACATTTGACACATTTCTTAAAACATAAATTACATCAAATTACATTTAAAAAAAAATTCAATGTGAAAGAATATTCAAGAAAATAGGAACATGAAACAAGAAACCAACCGAATAACGTGATCATATTCAATATCCAATAATTTCGTCTATCATCAATCCGGATATGACGTGGGTGTTTATCCATCCATTACCATTATAATTTTAATTTTATTTTATTATTTTATAATTACTTGGAGGATACCCAACAAACCTACATATATATATATATATAAGCTATTAGCTATTCCATGGAGTCACCCACCCAAATTCATCAACATTTCAACCCAAAGACGCAACCTCTTATCTTCAATATTCGTCTAAACTCTTCTCAATCCAATACGATACCCTCAAATTTTCAACAACCAATTCTCAAGTTTCGATTTGATCGCACACTTCAATCGGTTCATCAAACTGTAAGTGTTTTCAACATCCCATATCGAATTTTTAGTCTTAAATCAGTTCGATATATTGATTTTTCTTTCAATTCAATATATCTGCAATTGTGGTTTTTTTGTTAGTTCTTATTACTAGTATGCTAGATTATTGATACCGTTCTTATTCAATCGATATGGAGATTAGGTTTTTTAGGGCTACTTTTTATGATTATAGAGTTAATCCAGATCTTGAAGAAGTTGTTTCATGTTGTTTGTTTGATTTGATTTTGATATGTTATTTTGCCCTTTGTTTTTTAGCAAAAAAAACAAAGCTTAAAGTAATTATTATCTAGTCAATGGCTTGTAGTTTTCTTGCACTTTCTTAAGATACAAAACAGAAAACTATAATCAAGTACAATGGTTGGTTAAGGATATAGTTGAAATCTGATCTTCTGCGGTTCCGTGAATCGTTTGTAACAATATGGACAGAACGTCGAATCAGGATCAACTAGGACAGAAATAAAGCTTTAAAATTGTATCTAGAATGACTGGAAAAGTGGAAACAAGGCCAGATCAAAGGAATTGACAGGCCCACACAGGCGGTGGAGCATGTGGTTTAATTCGATGCAAAGCGAAGAACCTTACCAGGGCTTGATATGTCGCGAGTTCTCGCCTGAATCCAGCCGTTGCCAAGGCCCTTGTGACATCAAGGTTCAACTGAGATGACTTTAGGCCATTCATGGTCGCCTGGGATTAGTCTTTGTGCTTAAGCTGGTTCAGAAACCTACAGTTAACCAACCAAAAAACAAAAATATCCCATCAAATCTCAATCGGAGGTTTTTGTGAAAACATATTTATTATGGTTTTTGTGCTATTGTTTGTCTTGACTCATGCTGTGGAAGAGATCTTTGGGTAAAAAGAAAGCTTTTTGACCAATCTTTGCTTATTAAGATGATATTATGTTCATATGGGGAAGACCGAGAAGTCTTGATGAATTTGAGACATCTTTATGTCTACAAGAAGCAGAGGATATGTTCATCTATGAGATGTCCCAAAGATCATTTGGGTTTTGTGGATGGCGCAAATCTGAATTCATGCAAAACTGCATTGTGGCTTTCCTAAAATATGCTCCTAAGCATACGAAGAACGATGATCATATGTTTATTTCTTGATTTGATGTGTCCATATGCTTGTTTTGGTTGATGAGTTTTGATGTTTGACGAACGTAACTGATCTTTTCAGGGTTTTGTTTCTTGATTTTGCAGTTCTTGAAACAAAAATGGCTAAAGGGTTCAGGCAAGAACATGAATTCTGTAAGTCCACATGTCCATATTCTTTTTGAGGAATTATTCGTATCGCAGAGAAAGGATATGAATCCATGAATAATCAGCCAAAAGTCCCGTTTTAGCAAAAAAATAAGAGCTTTGTGACTTCTGTAATATTAAATGTGCATGCTTTTCGATTGTTGCTATTTTCAGCAAAGAGGCATGCAGAGGCATCAAGGATTAGGGAGAAATACCCTGATAGAATTCCGGTATGAGCTAACTCTTGTCCTTTCTTAACGGAAAATATTCGTGTGGTATATATATACGTATATAACCTTAAATGGGATTTTAATTAAATCCATGACTTTGTGATGAGTATGAAACCATTTTGGGTCATGGATTTAATTAAAATATCATTTAGGGGTGGAGGTCGGATATTAAGCCCTTGTTTTGTTTTTGGTTTTGGTGGTCTTATTCGTTTATTTTACTTGAAGGTGATTGTGGAAAGGGCCGAGAAAAGTGACATCCCTAACATCGACAAAAAGAAGTAGGTTTTTTTGTGTAATCGTGGTTGTGATTCATATATGAATACACAATCATTGTAACGTATGTTTAAGGATCTTTTGTATAATTACCACAGGTATCTCGTCCCAGCGGATCTTACTGTAGGGCAATTTGTCTATGTGATCCGTAAAAGAATTAAGCTGAGCGCTGAGAAAGCTATATTTATTTTTGTGGAGAATGTCCTTCCACCCACAGGTATTTTTATAACTCGGGTGTATTTGTTCAAATGAACGTTGGCGTTAAATGAGAATTTGTTTCACAGCATAATCTTCTGACAAGTTTAGTGGCGTTCTTCTATTAAGCATTGACATTCTCCAGAATCAAACCTGTCAGAAGGTCATTGATTTAATAATAAATTGTCAGGTCGTTTATGGTTGTTTTTCGGGTTTTTTTGTTTGACGTATTTCTCACACTTTTATCTTGGCTACATTTTCGGTTTACTGTACTTGTTGCTTGTTTGCACGCAAGTGCATGTAGCTTGCTCGCTTGTTTTTGTTTATTTTTTGTGTTGCAAGCTGGGATAGAGTCACGGTCTGCATACTTCATACATCCTAACCCGGACCCTATCTACGTGTGGATTTAGGGTTTGTTTGGTTTTTTAATCTTCATAACATCCAAGCTTAATTAGAAAGGGAAAAATGCATCAAAATGCAATAATGCAATTTGCCGAAACTAGAATTATGAATAAATAAGTTCGAATTCATGGTCGTGTTGCTAATATGGTTCTGATTGTTGATGTTTATAGGAGCGATAATGTCTACGATATACGATGATAAGAAGGATGACGATGGATTTCTATACGTTACCTACAGTGGCGAGAACACGTTCGGGTCCATTCTGTCGTGATCTCTCTCTCTTCATTTTACGCTAAATAAACTTGTTGCTTGATCGTAATTCGTATAACTTGTACAGTTGTTTCATACATATTTTCTACCAAAAGTGTCGAATTCTATCCATTGATCAATAACATAGTCGATCATTTATAGTTTATGTCGTATGCTTTTTATTCTTACCTTTTAAGAACACGTTAAATACAACGTTCGTAAGTATCTCGACATGTATGTACAAAAGACAAAAATCATCATTTAGTAATTTAACTCTTGTCGTCTCTTTTTCTTCTTTATGAAAACAACCGTTCTATTATTTGGGTTTATATTTAAAAGTAGCAAATATGATTGAGTATTTTGAACAATGCCCGTTGATTTTTCGTCAAGAATACCATCATAATTTCTAAATCCGGGTGTTATAATCTGTAACCGAATCTCTCGTTGTCGTCATATTGTTTTTTGTTTGGATTGATACGATAACTAATAATCGAAAATATGATGCCAAACAAGCTGTCCCTTCCCCTTCTCCAATGTTTCGCTGTTAAATGGAAAACACCAAAATGTTAAAACTTTGGATTCTCACGTTTGCTATTCTTTACGGATCAAACAAAGTAGGAAGGGCCCACCCAGTTTGTCATTTACCACAAAATTGTTGACAAACTTGCACTTGTCATTGAACTCAAAACTTTTAGCCGCCGTTTGGTTAAAAGAATTTGATAGAATTGGAATAATAAATTTATTTGATCAAATTCTAATTCCTTTGTTTGGTTCATTTCTAGAAATGAATGGAATTTTCATTGAATTCCACAAATTAATGAATTCATCTTTTTTTGGCATAATGGAAGGAATTGAATTACATCACCATCCACCACGATCATGCTACTATTGTTTGTCATGCCCACCCCTACCATCACCACACCACTACCGTCGCCACCACCCATCCCCACCTACCCTACCCGACCACTAACCATCATGTCAATACTGTTGTCATCACACCCACCCACCCCCTGATCACTCACTGTACATCCCTACTACGACCATGCTACTACCGTTAATGTCACGTTCGTAACCTAACCCCATCACCACACCATTGTTTTCGCCGTTACAACTGCCACTTACCCCCACGCCACCCTATCCTACCCTACCCTACCCTAACCCACTACTAATCACCATGTCGCTACTGTCACCTTCATACCCACCCATTCCCAGCCACCTGACCACCATTCCACCACTGTCGACGTCACAGCTACCACCCCGCCACCCATCTCCACTGCTCCCCAAACCTCAGCCCCCACCCCCACACCACTATTGTCGCCTTCACAACCACCATTCATCTGTATTGCACCGTACCCTAACCTAACCCATCACTAAACACCATACCACTATTTTTGTCATCATACGCACCCACAACCAGGCCCCAGCCACCCGACCACTATCCCAACACTATCATCGACACAGCTACCACCCCGCCACCTACCCTTACCCACCCCACAGTCCCGCCCTGCCCCTAACAACCCCCACCTATGGAACAGGGGTGGGGAAGGATTGGTGGGGGTGGGGTAGGGTTTGGGTAGGGGTGGGGCAAAGTGATAGTTATGACGACAACAATAGTAACATGGTGGTTGGTAGGGTGTGGGCGGGGCGATGGTTGCAATAGTCCAAACAAAGATGAATGTTCCAATTCTTTTGAGATATTTCATTACAATTCCTACTAACCAAACACGTGATCAAATTCCATCAAATTCTATTCTAATTCCTTCAAAGTCAAATTCCTTTGATGGATTCCAATTCCATCAAATTCCATTATGTGAACCAAATACCCCTTTAGATTCCATCAACGCAAAACCACAATCGTTGGAGGAGGGGAGTAGTTGAAACGAGAAGGGAGCCGAGCCACAATGGTGACAAAAGGAGAGCACCGACGAAGAGAGGAGAGCAAGAGTGGTGGTCTTATTTTTTGTGTGGATGTGAGATGGATGTGGTAAGTCAAGGGTATTTTAAGAAGAGTTGTTGGCTAATTGCATAAAGGTTTGGAGTTGGAGAGAGGGATGAGCGAATAAAGCCAATCTGGCTTATTCGTTAAGTCATAAACAAACGATTATATATGACTGAGTGAATAAGCTTTTCAGAAAATTTAACCCATTAAACCATAAACAAACAAGTCGTGTGTATTACTAGGTCTAGTATCATACAAAACCTTTTTCTGTAATTTCCACCTCGAGTCCAAACCATTGTGTGAGTGATAAAAAAGAATCCACAACCACGATTAGACTTGTATCCTCAATAGCTTGTAACAAATGTGTTCAAAACATGAACAGAGGTCGTCACACGTGGTTTTTCAGTATTGATGAAAAAAAATGATAGGTTCACAGGGTACGTGGTTACATGGTTTAGTTATTATTTTTGAAGGATTTTTTTTGCTTTTTTTAAAATCAATCATGACTTGTTTTCAACAAAAAGAAAAAAGAAAAAGTTGTTGGCATAGTTTAAAACGTTCAACTGATTCGTGATTAACGACATTTCAGTCGCTAGCAACTCTTGTACTTTTCTTTGTTCATGTACCATGTCCCGATAAATAACAACACACTTATCTTCCGACAATTTATATGAACAGTAATTAAAATCATTGGATTTTTTAAAACATTAATAAATTAAATTAAGTTTCAAAAATTAGAGTAAATTACATTTTCCATCCTTATAATTTGTTGAAAATTACGATTTTAGTCTGTATAGTTTCAAAATTACAATTTTTGTTTATGTAGTTTATAATTCATTACTATTTTTAATCTAGATTCTAACGCATACTTTTAACTATAAGGAAATAAAAATTGTTTTTTTGTTTGTTGCAATTTCATTTAGGGACCGTTTACCTAAATACTTACATGGTAAGCGTTTATCGATAGTAGTTAACACTATAATCGATTTTACCATATAAGATTGTAGTATATTAAAACAATATTATATACAACAATTTACCCGGTAAATGCTTACCCGGGTAAGAGTCATCACCATCACTTGTCGGGTAAGACTCTCTATCCCTATCATTATATCATAGCTGTTACGGGATAAGATTTTCAGTACTTGTATTAGGTGAGAAAATTTACCCTATCCACACTTACCGGTTTTAGTTAGTCTATATATAGTAAGAACACCCATAAAATCATTACATACTGATTCCAAAATCAAATGGAATTTCACAATCCATTATTTGTTGCATTCTTGCTATTAATCCTAATAACCACCAAAGTTTTTGCCAATTGCACTTGTGAACCACAAGAAATCGCCGGCGATAATAACAAGGCTCTCAAGTACAAATTGATTGCACTTGCTTCAATTCTCATTGCCGGCGGCATCGGCGTCTCTCTGCCTTTCGCCGGAAAGATTTTTCCGGCCTTACGCCCTGAGAAGGACGGTTTCTTTGTGGTAAAAGCATTCGCCGCCGGCGTGATATTGGCTACCGGTTTTATTCATATACTTCCTCAAGCATTCGAGAGTTTGACGTCGCCGTGTTTGAAAGAAGAGCAGTGGGCAAAATTTCCTTTCACGGGGTTTGTAGCGATGGTGGCCACCATTGCAACGCTGTCGTTTGAGACTTTGTCGGCGGCGTACCAACTTAGGGATCAGACGGCTGCGGCGGCGAAAGTGGTTGGAGATGTTGAAGGTGAAGAAATGGATTGTGGGCTTGTGGATGCTCACATTCTTGTGGATGATTCGGGTTTGTCGGAAGTTCATCGTTATCGGATTGTCTCACAGGTAAATTATTAAATCATAGATATTTTCATTTCAATATATATATATATATATATATATATATATATATATATATATATATATACTAGTTGTGAACCCGCGCAATGCAGCGGGACCGTAGAAGGCGTGAATGTAAACAATTTTGAAGCTTTCGTGGTTTTGTTAGAGGAGATCTTATAACATAATGATMTTCTAATATAGATATTTAATTTCTAAATTTATCCTTGGTTGTATTTGGAGGARAACCTTCCACAAATATTTTCGATGTTAAAAGCCAACCTTTTGTGTACCTAGGACTGCGAATGATTATGATAAACCAATTACTTTGAGCAAAGTTACTTTGAAATTAAGATTCCTCATATTAAAAGAACTTGAAAGGTTAAAAGACGTATGAATATAAATGTTCACTTCAAATGAACAATCAAATAGGATGATCTATATGTTTTCTTAGAGTGATAACTACAGTGATACACCCTTTGAAAATGTGCATCAACTGAAGGTGAGCATTAACAACACAAACAAATACATAGAGGACGTGTTTCGCAAATAGTTTAGTAGATATATATATATA